GGTGCTAATCTAGCCTTTGCCTGAGGCTATCCGGCAAATGCCTCTGTGCAGGGCTTGTGCGGGGCGGGTCCCAGGGGATCTACAGGGCGGGCGGAGCGAGCAGTTATGGCTGCTCTCGGTCTGTCCCCAGGGGCTCTGCCTCTCAGAGTCCCAGCAACCACTGCAAACCTTGAAGAGAAAGCTGCCTTCGAGTTCTGACCAAAGCCATACAGTCCCGCTTCTCCCGTATGAGGCTGGGTCCCTAGAGACTCGCCCGGATCTGGAGCTCAGAGTCTGAGGCTCCCTCCGGATTGAAACAGACAACCACGCTCTCAGCCACCAGCCCTCTCCGCGTGCACCTCCGCACCTCAGTATTTTACTCCAGCACTGCGCCTCCTCTGAGTCTCGGTATGCTTTCCTCTTTCCTCCTAGTTGTAGAACTTCCACTCAGCCAGCCTTCCTGTGGTTCTGGATGATGTCCGTTCCGTCTTTTAGTTGTATTTTTGAAGTGGTTGTTCGAGGCAGCAAACTCCGGCGTTAACTTATGCCGCCATCTTGGTTACTCCCGGATTATTTATATTTTTTAAAATATATTTTTATTGATTTCAGAGAGGAAGGGAGAGGGAGAGATAGAAACATCAATGATGAAAGAGACTCATTAATTAGCTGCCTCCTGCATGCCCCTTACAGGGGATGGAACCTGCAACCCGGGTATGTGCCCCAACTGGGAATTGAACCATGACTTCCTGGTTCATAGGTCCATGCTCAACCATTGAGCCACACCAGATGGGCAAGATCACATTTACTAATTGTTTTGTCCAGATCCTCTATATCACTACTGATTTTTTGTCTATTTGTTCCATCAGCTATTGAAAGAAGTGTGTTAAAGTATTTCACTATGGCTGTAGAGATGTAGAAACAGTTTCTGCTTTATAGTTTAAATGCATGCCATGGGATGCATACAGACTCATGATTGTGGTATCTTTTTGTTGGATTGACTCTTTGATCTTTATAAATGTCCCTCTTTATCTTCTGTTTCTTGCCTTAAAAATGTCTGATATTTGGGTCAGGTGTGCATGGTATTATCCTTTTAGTTTTTCTGTGTTCTTTGATTTAAAGTATGTCTCTCCTGAACAGTGTATAATTTAAAAAAAAATCATTGGACAATACTAGGTATAGAATTCTAGGTTGATGGGGTTTTTCAGCCCTTTGAGGGTGTCATTTCGTTGTCTTCTGGCTTCTACTGTTACTGTTGAGAAGAGAGATCTCAGTTTTATCATTGATCCTTTGATGATAACATGTATTTTTTTCCTTGGGCTGTCTTTAAGTTTTCTTCATTACCTCCCCACAGGAGTTTGACAATGAGGTGCTTGTGTGTTTTAAAAAATAAACTCCAGACTTTATTGGAATTTCACCCTTTTTTTCCATTAATATTCTCTTTCTGTTTCATGAGCCAATCCGGGTACCACATTGCATTTGGTTTTCAGGTTTCCTAAGTCTCCTTTGGTCCTTCCTTGTTTTTTTATGACATCGACTGTCCGATGAAATGGTCAGATTACCCTGTAGAATGTCCCACATGGGTTACCCGATATCTTCTTCGTTAGACTAGGGTTATGGAATTTTGGGAAGAAATCGGAAGTGAAGTGAAGTGCTCTTCTCATGTAATTTTGTTTTTATTCTGCATGAGACTTGCTGAGCTTATTGAACTGGTGGATGAGATTTGCTGAGTTAAGAGCTGTTGTGCCTCTTCACTGTTGGCCAGTTGGATGTTAGGAGCAGATGCTGCGCCAGGCCCAGGCCCAGGCCCAGGCCCAGGCCCAGGCCCGAGGAGGCAGCACCTGTCACTGCTTTCCTGTCCAGTGCTAACATGCCAGCCTGAGGTGCCTGAGGGACCACCCAGCAGACTGGAGCCCAACCTGCAGCTCGAACCCAGCCACTCTGAGCCCGACCTAGACCCGGGGCCCCCTCGATGCCTAGAGATGCCTGAGCGAGACTAACTGAGCACAGTCAGCGCACAGAGCATCGGTGTGCTCTCCTGTTTGCAACGGGGGCCGGTGCAGACCTGGGGCATCTCACGCCTCCTTCTTCCTCCATCTCCAGCAGCCGTGCTTGGAGCAGTTGTGTTTGGTGCTACGTACTCCTCCCAGGCCACAGGTGTGCTCCACCGCCCCTTTACCTCCTCTTCTCTCCCTCCCCGCATTGAGCTGACTTTCCTTCCTCTCAGCAGCATGATAAGGCTTAAATGAAACCGTGTCGGGGACAACTTAAGCACAAATACATTTTCTACAGAGAAGAAAATTCCCCAAATCAACAAAACAACCCCCAAGAATCTTATTTCTGCTGTAGGTGAAATAATGTATGTGAACTGCCCAACTAGCAGTTAACTGTCACACAACAAAATAACTCCCGGTCATTAAATACAAGATTGATGTTTTATTTAACAATAATATTAAATTCAATTCATTGCCACGCTTGCTCATACAGTAGGACATCTTGTACACACAATAAAAAATAATATTGACAGTATAGAGCCGACCACTCTCTGGAGCCTGGCTGGGCGGGAGGAGTGGCGACTCCGGGTAGGAGCTGGCCCTGTCCACGTCTCTCCGGTTGTGAATCCTCTGGGCTGCTATAGGCCCAGAACCTTTGGATCAGGATGAAGCAGGAGAGGAAGGAGGGGGTCTGTGCGGGATACAATTGCCTGCTGGCATGGTTCCCTTCCCCACCTCCGCCAGTTCAAATCCTGGCCCCGGCCCTGCCCTCCGCCCTATCGCCCTAGCCTTTATTTATTTGTTTATTTAGTATACCTCACCTGAGGATCTTTTTTCACTGATTTTTAGAGAGAGTGGAAGATGGGGAGAGAGAGGGGGACAGAGATGGGGGCTGGTCTGAAGGTCAGGAATGAAAAGTCTCATCCACATTTCTGGACTGAACTCTGGACACAAAGGGTTTCCCGGGCCTTTGACAAAGGAAGGAGTGGGCCCGCCGGGCCGCAGGTTGGGAGAGGAGGCCTAACCCAGACCTCAGAGCACCAGGGCCTCCGGTCTTTCTTCTAGAAAGGGTATGGAGCATGTTGGTGGCCGGGGCCCTCAGAGGTCAGCTCTCCTTCTACCTCGGGAATCTGAGGGGCTGTGTGGCCAGGCCCCTCTCTCCCTAAAGCCTGTTTCCGTCCCAAGCAGAGCCCCGGGGCCCCAGAAACCACCGACGCGCTGCCCTGCCCAGTGCGAGGCCCACGGCAGGACCCGGACCCGGCGCAGGCCCATGTGGTTCTCCACCAGGAGCGAGACCCTCACCGCCGGCCGTCTGGAGAGGCTCGGAGGAGGCCGCTTCTGGGCTTTCTGTCCCGGGTGGGTGGGGTGCGGGGCGGTGGGTGCAGGGCCTCGCTAGGGCAGCGCCCCGCTGAAAGTCATGATGGGCAGGCAGAGGAGGGAGCAGAGATCGGGCGTGGCCTGGGCTGGTGAGTGGGGTGACCTCTGGGGCTGGGGTCCGAGGCTGCTCTTCTCGGGCTTGTAGCAAGGTGAGACCTCACACCTGTGGGGGCGGGAGTCAGGACAGGCTCACACCCCCCCAGCCACTTCCAGGCCTCCGGGTGGGAACAGCACAGACACTGACCCTTCCCTCCACCCGACGCAGCTGGGGCAGAGCCGCGCCCCTTCCTACCTGACCACACTCTGCAGGATCTTCCTCTCATCCTGGTCCAGGCACACCGCAAAGGGGCAGATTTTGGAGCCGATAATCTGTACCTTGTCCACTTCGATCTGCGAGGTGCTGATCTGGAAGGAAGGCCCAGGTCAGTCCCGTGGGATTGCCCGCTACCCTGGGGTGGGGTGGGCGTTGGTCTGTCAGCTCTCTAAGGCTAATGGCCAGCGCAGGGGAGGGGTTCTGTGGACGGCTCAGGCCCTGGCCCCGCCCCAGCCTCTGCCCTTTCCTGAGCCTGGAAGAAGCAAATGCCCTCTGAGAAGAAGTTGCACTGCACTCACGCGCCCCCCCCTCCCCCTGCAAGAGCCCTGGGGGTCCCACAGCCCGCTCTGCCTCTGACTTAGGGCAGAACCCTTCCACACCACATATCCTCTCACAGAGCCGCCCCTTCCTCCTAACGCCCCACAGCACCCCACATGTGTGCACACCCAAATCTCACCCCTCCCCCTGCTTCCCCTACCCCCAAAGCCCCCCACAGCCTTGGACACCCCTCCTCTCACACAACATGCCCACGTGCCACACACAGGTGCATACTCGCCCCCAGTCAGTCTCCTGAGGGTGTGGCTTCAAGGAGAGGGAAGCCCTTACCTGGTTAAAGCCCTTCTTGGATTTGGGGTTTTGCCTCTTCACCACTTCCGTCAGGTTTAGCGTCAGGGACTCTACACCGGAGTCTGAAGGGCAGGGTCACTCAGGCCAGGCCCAGAGCCCCTCCCCGCCACCACCCCTGCACTGCCCGCCCACCCGACCAACCTAGCTCCTCCTGCTTCCGGCAGGCCTTGTTGAGGTTGATGGAGGTGCAGACCTTCTCCATGTTACTCCAGCGACTTCGTCCGCTGATGGCCCCCTGCAAAGGCAGCAAACCAGGTCCTCTCTCAGCTCAGGGCCCCATTGCCTGCCACCTTCCCTTCAAAGAAGAGGCCCAGATTGCCCGGGCCCGGAGCTGCCTGTTGTGGGCACACCCAGGGAGCTCTCTCTCCTTCACCCAGGTCTGCCGGCTCCTTCACTGAGACCCCTGGCCTCTGTAGAGACCTCGCTGACTCCGGGGAGGGCGTCATGTCGCTAGCGTGGTCCATGGGTCAGCCTTGTGACCAGGTCATAGGACGCGAGAGCTGAGAGCACCTAAGGGGTGCCTCACTCCTGCTGAGTCCAGAGTGAGGAAGAGAGGGGCCCACAGGCCTGGAGCTCCCGGCAGAGCCAACCTGCCACCCCCTTTCATGGGGGACCTCCATGTTGCCAAACCCAAGAGGGTTTCTCGGTCCTTGGTCAATCTCAAGGTCGGCTCACTTGACCTTGCCGGAGAATTTGCTTCTGTTCACCCCTCTCCTCCCCTGGCTTTTGTGAGGGCACACGCCTGGTTCCCCACCACCTTTCGGCTGGGCCTCTGCTCAGCCCGACACCCTCCTCTGCCTGAGGTCACATGACACAGGTCTCAGGACCTTCTCCTGGCTCCTCCGCTCTTTGCACTTCTACTTTCTCCCTTAGGGAACCTCGACCACCTACACACCCCTCCTCATATTTCATGTCTGAGTTCAGGCCCATCCATCCAACTGCCTATTCTGACTTCCTCCTTCTGCCTCTCAAGGGCACTGCAAACTCACATGTCCCGCATGCATTCCTGATCTGCTGCTACCGGACCTGGGCTGCTTCTGAGACAATGCACGACTAGTCTCAGAAGACTGAAATCCGGGAGTCCGGGCCCCTCTTTTTCCAACCCATCCCTAAGCCCTGCTGCTCACATAATCCACATCTAGCCCTCGTTCCTTCCCATCTCCCCCACCACCAGCTAGACCTGGCTGCCACATTTCTCTCCTGGAAAACCACCGGAGCCTCCCATGGGCCTTGCCATGGCCCCTGTGGACCCTCCAATCTGTTCTCCACAGAGCTGCCAGGGGGCACCACCCCAAACTTAAGCCCCTTCCAAGAATACCCATTGCTCTTATGACTGGAGAAACTCCTCTCACTATCATTAAGGCCCTTGGTATTCTGGCCCCGCCTCTCTCTTTAGCCTCACCTCGTCGCCTTTGCTGTTCATGCTCTCTTCTACCACAGGGCCTTTGAACATGCTGCTTCCTCTGTCTGGGGAATACATTCCTCTCTTTTTAGCTTAACTAACGAACTCCTGTCTCCCCCCTCCCCCCACCCAATATTGACTCAATATCCCTTCTCTAGCAAGCGTCTAACTTTCCAGACTGGGTTGAGGAATCCCCTGGAGGTTCTCCCAGTACCATGTACCTCTCCTTCATCTGTTTGTCACAGTTGTAATTATGCATCTGTGGGTCCATCTAACCAATGCCTACCATCCCTCTAGAGCAGTGATGGTGAACCTTTTGAGCTCGGCGTGTCAGCATTTTGAAAAACCCTAACTTAACTCTGGTGCCGTGTCACATATAGAAATTTTTTGATATTTGCAACCATAGTAAAACAAAGACTTATATTTTTGATATTTATTTTATATATTTAAATGCCATTTAACAAAGAAAAACCAACCAAAAAAATGAGTTCGCGTGTCACCTCTGACACACGTGTCATAGGTTCGCCATCACTGCTCTAGGCTGTCAGCATTTTGTTCACTCTTGACAACACTACCTGTGCCCAGAACAATGTCTGGGGCCCAGTAGGTGCTAACAAACACCTGGCACACAGCTCTCAGGGTCAGTCCCGCCTGCCCACTGCCATGGCCACCAAATGTAAAGTAGCCCCATGATCACCATCCCATCAGCCCTTTGATTGCCTTGTCATCACTCGCCACTTGGACATGACCTTGGCCATTTCCTCGTTTCCTGTCTGTCTCTCTCTTCTGAAGAAGCTAAAGGCCCAGCCCTCCCTGCTTACTGCATTCTCCCTTGCCCAGCACAGGGCCTGGCAGGAGTAGGTGCTAAATAAATACCTTTGAATGATTGAAAGAAGGAAGAAAGAAAAGAAGGCAGGAGGGCCCCATTGTTGAGGTCAAGGCTCTCACGGCCTGTCCCCCAAAGTGTGACAGGCTCAGAGACGCATGCTCATGGGCACCCCTTCCTCCCTCACCTCAAATATCTCTTCACTCACACTAATCCCACCTCCCATGCACCCAGCCTGGAACACCGGCCCCAGACCATGGCCTCTCCCTCGTGGTGCCTCTGGAAGCCCAGCCTTGCCCCACTCTCCACTCTAGCCCTGTAGCCCGGCCCTGACACCTCACGGCAGCTGCTGGGCACATCCAGGAGGGGCAGAGCACAGGGGGAGGCCTTCTGCGGGCTCCAGCTTAAACACTGGGGCCCGGGAACCCGAGTCTGACGCTGCGTGAGGAAGACCAGGAGCAGACCCCAGAGGCCGTGGCCCAGCGCCGTCTTACCTTGCTGTAAATTATCTGTAGTGTTAGAGGGACGGCCTCCCGGTCCCCATCAATGCCCAGCCGCTTGCTGCCAGGACCTGTGCCACACGCAGACAGACCCATCACTCGGTGCCCCTTACAGACCCTGGGGCCCTCCCTCCCCACCCCCCACCTCTGGCCCTGCTTTCCGGTGACCCTGCCTCCCAGGGCCCTCCCTCCTGCACCTGTCTCCCGGGACTCAGGCAGCACTCACCTGAAGCCTTGATGGCTCGCGTGGCAGCAGAGTGACCCAGCTCCAGGGAATGAATGAAGATCTCCGTGGTCTTCTCCCCGGTGATGAAGGTCAGCTGCAGAGGGCAAGACTGGGCGTCAGGGTGGACCTCCTGCAGGGACCCTCCAGGCTTCTCCGACTCAGGGGGAGGCCTGTCACGGGGTGGGGACGGGGCACAGGCTGGGGCCCGGCGATGTGAGGGAGGCCTGCCTGTGAGTCCCAGGGAGCAGGTGGCTGGGGCGGCAGGCACTCACCTCTGTCTGGTAGACCTGCAGCAGCACCGGCCGTGCAGCGAAGCGGCAGTAATAGAGCAGCATGTCGGCCAGGATGGGCAGCTGGCTGGGGGAGCCCTCCAGGGGCCGGGAGTCGGCCTTCAGGGACTGCTGCGTCGGGGGAGCCAGAGCCAGAGGGGCAGGTGGACAGCGAGTGGGAGGGAAAGGGAAGATGAGAGGCAGAGAGGCAGAGGAACATGCACACACACACATGCAGAGGGAGACGCAGAGGAGAGAGCCAGGGACGGGGTGGTGAGGCGAAAGCAGGAAACAGATGGTCAGGGGAGCCCCCACAGCCGGTCTCCACACGGCTCCCTGGCCTGGCCCGGGGGCTCAGGAAGGCCCCTGGCAGAGCTGGACAGAGCGGAGCTGAGGACGGGGCCCAAGCCCCAGGTCCCCTGGATCCTTCTGAGGAGCCTCCCTGTCACTGTGGTGACTCCACCCCTTGCCCCCAGAGCCCCGTCCCGCTTCTCGCCTACTCTCTCTGCTCATTCCCAAGGGCACCCTGTTCCTCCGTGGAGTCCTCGAGCTGGAGCTCCCCAAACCAGGGCCTCTGAGCGAGGCTGGGTGACCCCAGCCAGCGGGCCTTCTCTCCCCTCCCAGGGGCCGCTTACCTGGCACAGGACCTCGGGGGGCAGGTGCATGAGGCCCAGCACGTTGCGCTCATACCAGGGGTCGAGCATGCCGAGGTAGTGAGAGATGTCGTTGGTGCTCTCCTCCCACTGGGCCACGCCCAGCTCCTGAGACAAGGGGCGAGAGTCATGCCCGGCGACCCAGGAGGCCTGCCAGGGCCCTGGGCAGCCCTGCAGCCCTCCTCTGAGCTCCCCCCTGCCCTCGGACAGGTCTGTGTCACACAGCAAAATGCCACCCCCACGTGCAGGGCGGGGACATACCGCAGGGAGGGGGTGCCTCGGGGACTCGGGGGGGAGGGGCGGTGTCTGGCTCCGAGGGGCCGGGCAGGCGCTGGAGCAGGCCCCCTGGCTTCGCTTCATGGGCACGTAGAAGAACTGCAGCTTGAAGAACCGGGTGAGGAGGGGGCGATTGCTCTCCAGCAGCCTGGCAACAAGAAGGTGGTGAGAAGGTGCCCTGAATCCCTGTGGGAGGTCAGCTCAAGCCTGAGATGCCACCAGCACCACCACCCCGCCACCCCACTCTGCAGAGACGACCCACTCCGGCTCTTACCGCAGGTTGCTGTAGGCCCGGGCTACCTTCCCCGAGATCCGATCGGAGCCGAAGACCACCACGCGGAGGGTGGAAGCCTTGGGGTCCTCGTCCCCGCTCAGGAAGGGGCGGCG